TAGGGAGTAGCCCTCCTCGTCTGCCGCCTCGCTCGAAGTTGGACGAGATGACCATGCGACGAGGAGAGTCGGCCACGTTGCTCTGCGAGGCACAGGCGAGTCCTTTGGCCATGTTTAGGTGAGAGATACCGAGGAAAGGACGAGGTGTCCCTACCCTTGAGATCGACCTGTCCGACGTTGCGGTTTTCCGGGGTCTTCTTCAGAGGCGCTTCTTCGAGACCGCGTCCCTCGTCTAGGAACACTGATCTACATACTACCTATTGTTGATGTATAAATAATGGTGGTTTTTTAACACGTTACATGTTAGTGATACCAAAGGATCGTTCCATGTATTGAAACGTCAAAATGAATATAAAACTTTTGACGGATTGACGGTTCAAAGCTTTTGCACATGCGCACTCGTTACTTATGTAGTACCGCTGCGCGCGTCTGGTGGTGCTGGGGTGCCTTAAATTCCTCAAAGTTCTCTGTTTGGAACAAATAGGTATCAGCTATCCAGTTAGTATGTAGATTGACGGTTCAACATTTGTTATTGTCGCGATTGACGGTTCAAAGCTTTTGCACATGCGCATTCGTTACTTATGTAGTACCGCTGCGCGCGTCTGGTGGTGCTGGGGTGCCTTAAAATCCTCAAAGTTCTCTGTTTACAACAAATAGGTATCAGCTATCCAGTTAGTATGAAGATCAGGGTCTGGGAATCATTTCTCGCCGGCAGAGTCAGGGCCCTTTTTGCCATTTTGGCGATCGAGATTGTTCTTAAGCACTGTTTTCCTTTCAGAACCTTCCGGTCGCACCGCGCCGAAGGGGACCGGAGACGGTCTCAACAAGTACCTCGGGGTTGAGGGCGACTCTCTGGCTCTGACGTGCTCGGTTCAGGGTTTCCCTGCCCCGATATCTAGGTACATCCCCGAAAGTACCCCGCGTTCCTCCACCCTCGCTTTTTAACCCGTTTTGGTTTTCATTCCGAGCTCAAGTCCCTGGGTCGGCCTCTCTTCCTCGGCGCTGCCGACACGTCGATCCCTCCTTCGAGATCAAGAGCGACCGGAAATGCAAATTAGGCTTCCGAGTACATCTCTTCGGATAGACACTCGTGCAGACCGAAGAGTCGCTTTACGAGCTCGCTGGTTCCCGTATCTCGAGATGATAAGACTCTTTTTTATGCATCGCGATTCGCGCACCGATTGCGGATGACACGGATCCGAGTGTCTATCCAGGCTCTTCCATTGACCTATCCTGACATCTTGACGCGACGTAGGCGGAGAGCGAAATATTGCGAAATCGAGAGACAGAGATAACCACACGTGGCAAGAGTGACGGAGCGAGACAGAGCGAGAGAGTTCCCTGCAGACATGGGCATCGGCGATTTTCTGGCGCCGCTCCTAGTTAAATGGAACATGGTTCCAATTCTATGATTATCTTGAAAAAGAGAATTTCTGAGGGGCTATTCACTGGTAAACGACAATACGATCGGTAACAAGTGATGTTCAACCTTAAGGCGATGTTGAACTGGTATCAAGGAGGTCTCCTTTATGAAACTTTTCTCCAAATTGGGTGTACCGAATTATTTAAAACTTCAGCACGTGATTATAAGGACTCTAAGGAAGAACGCGAAAGATTTCTTTTTGTAAAATTAAATTTCCCGAGCGTCAGGTTCTTCCTTGAAGCCTTCTTAATCACGTGCTGAAGTTACAAATTATTTGGTGGACCCAGTTTGGAGAAAAATTTTATAAATATTTAAAATTTTTATATATATATAATGACCCTTTCATTCCACCTTAATATTACCATTCCAAATGGTAATCGCTGCAACTTTTTAGCTCGGCGTCATGCAAGGTTAAATTAGCCATTCGATGTGATCAATCTCATTTGTGTGGTTCATATTGAAACAATATTTTAGCCATGTTGATATAGTAATTGTAACCAAATTATTTCTTCCCGTGTATACGGGAGTATGATTCTCTTAATCGACAGATAAATACTTATCGAATTGGAGTGCCGGTTTTTAAATGAATTATTATAATGGAGTACTTTGCACTAGCGGCATATCAGCGTGCCTGAGTGAATAACCCCTCGGGAGTTTCTTTGAATTTTCGCGTTTGAAATTTATTCGTTCACTTTGTTTTTGTTTTTGTTTCTTTTGTTGGGTACGGTTGATGCTCGTGCCCGTGTCTGTCTCCCCGCAAGCATCGTTCCGAGGCCAATTGGGCGTGTTGGTTTCAGAGCCAACCCTCAGTCCGAAGGCCGACGTGAGCATGAGGTGGTCCCGCCGCACGAAGCTTAGGCTCTCCTCCTCGGTTCCCCCGGTCCGGGCCCAGGTGGGTCAACCTTCCACCCGGGGAGGGTCGCCCTGCATCCGCCCGTCAAAAATCCCTCAAAAGTCTCTTCTGGTAAGTCCCCTTCGGGTGGTCCCTCCTGCTTCTCACCTGGCCCTCTGCCCTCCCGGCTCCGATCGACCAATCCCCGGAAGAAAAGAAATTCATACCCTGAGACGGAAATTTCGTTGGGCCAAAGAAATATATTAATAAGCTGATATGAAAGGGTCGTCCTGCACACACACAAAACTTTTCTCCACCCTGGGTGCACCGAAAACTTCAGCAAGGGATTATGAAGACCCTAAGGAAAAACGCGATGCTCGTGAAATTTCATTTTTCCACAAAAAAAGAAATATGTTGGTTCTAGTGTAGGCTAAATAAATAGGAATTTTTTTTTGGTTAAAAAATGAAATTTTTAGACCATCGCGTTCTTCTTTAGGGCCTTCATAATCACGTGTTAACGCTTTGAATGATTCGGTGATGCTAGTTTGGAGGAAGGTTTTATTAACATTTTGACGTTCTGATATTTAGAATGACCCTTTCATATCACCTTGAGGTGATAAGGGTGAATTCAAAGAATAATTATTTCACTCGAATAAAGTCAATTAAATAGTCACAATTCCGGAGATACGTCGCGTTCAATTATTTCGCGTTCACTTGAGTAGAATTCATTGAATTGATAATATATTTCTCTGGTTCGATGAATTTATTTGTTCTCGGTGTACCTTTAGCGAAGAACGGCATTGTTGATAATGTCTTGGGCTTACTTCAAGAATAATCCCACCGAGGGGATTCCTTTAGAAAAATTTCTCCCTACATTAGCTAGTGAATTCCTAGGAAGGTCCGATAAATATTCCAACAACCGAGCGATATGCAATATTTCTTATTTCTGGGATAGAATATTGCAACCGTGAATAGAATTTCGGTTGGCCCAGTATCATAATCCTTTTGTTTGCCGCTATCATTGTAACATGTTTCCGGGGAAGAATTTAGCCGGCCCATCTTGAAGGGTACCGCATCCGTCGAAGAAAGTCAAATTTCTTATCATGCTCGGGAATTATCTTTCCCCGGGCGAACTCCTGGAAAAAGTCCGCAGAACGACCGAGGAAATTAATTTTCGTTATTTTCTTTCCCGACCGCAATCACTTAATCCCGATCGATCTCGGGCTCGATCGATATGTCGTTTTTGCCCAACCCCGGACGGGATGTCATCGTCGACGTCAGGATTGCCGATATTCGGGGACATTTTCGACAAATCGAAGGCCGGAAACGCGACAGGTGGTCGATTGTTCGGTAAACCGCTAAATTGGGGGGCGCCCACCAAGGCGCCTGGACGGAATTACCGGAATCGATTGGTATCGATTGGCGGCTCTTGGTCGAAAACGATCGAAAACCTAATCCCGACTAATTCCCTTTGATCCCTCCTCTGTCTCCGGAAGAATCATCCCGTCGATAAGGTGAAGGCCACGCAGCGTCCCGTCTCGTCTCTTCCTCCTCCACCTTCGTCGCGAGAAGGAATATTTTTATCCCTATTATATTTTATCCTAGTCAGCCCTCGTGAAGATTAAATTTCCACCCCGTGTGAATATTCGCTCTCCCCGAATTCCCGAAATCCCGAATCTCTCGATCTCTGCGGATTGCGGGGCGGCATTGGCTTAGCGATAGTCGAGGCAATGGACCAATTTCATTTTTTCTCTTTTTTCTATATTTCAGTTTTTATTTCTATTTCTATTTTATTTTATTTTATCTCGAGTATGTCAGGCAGCTCTTCGCGATGCAAACTATCTCGCGAGTTTCGTTGGCAGCCAGGGTTGGGAAGACGGAGGTTGAAGCATTCGACCCTTTAATTACGAAACGCTACTATAGTGACTTCCGCATGGACGACGTTTTTTTACGAAGCGCCACTATAGTGGCCCCTTTCATTCCCATGTATTCAAAGCGGCAAATGAATATCGGATTCATATGAAATATTATCACTCCCCGGACGAGCTATCGGTACAGGTCGAGGGGCTATTCACTCGGAAATCAGTGAAAATGATTTCCTTCGTTAAGAACCGATCGCCTTTGATTTCATGATACGCAACTATACGTTCGGTAACAACCCACCAAGCACCCTATGTATCGCAGTTATATAACACTGGAATAACGTGATATAACGTGATATTAACATAACATATATGTTACGTATACGTTACATTACTCTTTTTGTAACAGTGTTACATAGCTGCGTAGGACATAGTAGTACAAATCTTACTAATGTATTATATGTATGTTACATTATATGTTACTTAATGATTATATTATCGTTACGTAGCCGTGTTTGGTGGGAGGTGGCAGTGGGCCTTGAAATTGTGGCAAAGTTTTGGTGATTTCGAAGGATTCCAGCTGATGTCTCTCCGTGATATCCTGAGTGAATATTCCCTCGGTACAGGTGGTACACCTCCACGTCCGTGTCCGCCGTTGTTAAAGGGTTAATCACGCACTGGATGGGAAAAAAGAAAAAGATACAGAAAACTGCAACGTCGGTAAGGTCACCTGGTGGGGAGTCGGCTCGCGTTTTCCTTGGCTAGAGGCACCTGGTTGGTCGCGACCTGAGCACCTGTTCCCAACCCTGGCGGTGGCCAGGTCGGCTCCCGAAGAGACGAGACGAGGCGACGTCCGACGGGGCATGGTTGTTCCCTGTTGCAGATGGTACAAGTTCATCAACGGCACCTCCCGCCGCCAACCGGTGCAGCTGAACGAGCGAGTCCGCCAGGTGAGCGGCACCCTGATCATCCGTGAGGCACGAGTCGAGGACTCCGGGAAGTACCTGTGCATCGTCAACAACTCCGTCGGGGGAGAGAGCGTGGAGACCGTCCTGACGGTTACGGCACCCCTCTCGGCCGAGATCGAGCCCAGGACGCAGACCGTAGATTTCGGCAGACCGGCGACCTTCACCTGCAACGTCGAGGGGAACCCCATCAAGACCATCTCCTGGCTCAAGGACGGGAAACCGCTGGGATACGAGGAACCCGTTCTCAGGATCGACGGCGTCAAGAAGGAGGACAAGGGCATGTATCAGTGCTTCGTCAGGAACGACCAGGAGAGCGCCCAGGCCACTGCTGAGCTGAAACTCGGAGGACGATGTGAGTTGGGTTTATAAATTCTCGAGAATTTCAATCCGAGGAATAGAAGACTGTTACGGTTATTTAAAAATCCCTAGAGAATTTATGAGAATTTAGGAGCACTCTGTGAATTCATTATTTCAAGTAATTTATTAGTTTTAATAAGGGAATTTAAATTCCAGTAATATAACCGAGGATGTTACTGTAATTTAAAGGTCCTCAGAGAATTTATGAGAATTTATGAGAATTCTGAGAATGTGTATTTCAAATAATTTATTACCTTTAGTAAGTAATATTCACGTAGTCAAGGTACTTTTTAGGTGAAAACAGTGTTCCTTCAATCTATGATTTTCATTTTACTTGCGATTTTCCATTTCCGCAGTTTGTGTTGCCACTCTTATTAATTTCAATTGGATCTTGGAAGTTCAGAAATTCTGGTGTTGGTCTCGACCGATATTTAATACCGATTTTTTTTTCGGCAGTCGAGCCGCCACAGATCAGACAATCCTTCAGGGATGAGACTCTTCAGCCTGGACCCAGCGTCTTCCTGAAGTGTGTCGCCAGTGGGAACCCTACTCCTGAGATCATCTGGGAGCTCGATGGAAAGAGGCTATCCAACACCGAAAGGCTCCAGGTCGGACAGTACGTTACGGTCAACGGGGACGTCGTTTCGCACCTGAACATCAGCAACAGCCACACGAATGACGGAGGTCTCTACAAGTGCATCGCCGCGTCAAAGGTGTGGATCATGGAATTTAATTTGGCAGCCGTTTCGACGTAGTACCCGGAGAAAAGAAATAAAAAACCTGTAAAATGTATAGATTTTATCCGCTGAAATAAGGACAGCAGATTATGTCCGTTAGCGTTACGATTAAGCATCCGTTACTCAAATTCGTATAAATAGCAGATTAATATCTATAACGATTACATATAAGCATTGGGAACAGCTTACTTTTCTTCGTTTTCGTAACGTCCCCTTAACTTGTGCTCTCGAGTTAATTCAAGCGCGTAAAACAGGCCAAACTGTGCACATTCGAGATAATTCGAGCGGCGTTGTATTTTATGCTATTATAATTTTTCACCCTCGAATATAATCGAGAATTTTATTTTTTTGCCAAGACAATGTTCTAGTGTTTTTTTTTTACATAAAAATTGATTTTTTTAGCCCATTTTTTTTTTTAATCTGTGCGTTATGGGGTTAATTGAGACATTTTCCTGCCGACAGGTTGGCTCTGCTGAGCACTCCGCAAGACTGAACATCTACGGCCTGCCTTTTATCAGACACATGGACAAGAAATCCATCGTCGCTGGAGAAAACCTTCGCGTCACCTGCCCCGTTGCCGGCTACCCCATCGAGAGCATCGTCTGGGAACGTCACACCAGGGTCTTGCCCATCAACGGAAAGCAAAAGGTCTTCCCGAATGGCACTCTTATCATCGAAAACGTCGAACGGCTGAGCGATCAGGCTACCTACACCTGCGTGGCTCGCAACGCTCAAGGATACAGCGCAAGAGGAACCCTCGAAGTTCAGGTCATGGGTAAGTGTCGATCTACTTTTTCACCTGGTGATCACTTTCGGGACGTCTTCCGAGAAACCTGAGACTGAGTCATGAATCGGCTAATCCGTTGACCGCGTTTAAACGAACCTTTTAAGGTCGGGTCCTCGAGTTAACCGGGGTTCACTTGGTTTACGGCAGGTTTAAACCTGTTAAACTTCGGTTAACTTGAGTCGTGGAACCAGGCCCAAGTGTAAACCATGCATTCATGGACTTCTGCACTCAGATAAAAAAAAAATATATATATTCCTTGAACTAAAGAAATATTTCGTTGAGTAGTACCAAAGAAATATATTTTCAACTCAAAGATTAATTTATTTCGCTCAAATGAAATTCCGATTCCGAAGGAACGTCTCGTCGAATTTATTCCATTTCATTTGCGTGAAATGATTGTTCCTTGAATTAACAATATATTTCTTAGGTACTATTTGGAAGAAATATTTTTGCTGGTTTCATGAACATTTGTTTCTCAGAGTAAGGATGTCCTCTGTAAAGTGCCGTGAACCCAGCGAGTTTTCTCGGAACCCGTCCTCATTGTCTATGGCTACTGACCGAGAGAGACGGCACACGGTGGTTGAGATCTGCAAATCGTAGAAAAATGGAATTTTCTTCGTTTAGTATATGACGCTCAGTGATTCCTTGTTATTCTAGAAGTTATGAAATTTGTATGATGACTTCACGAGAACGACCACTTTGTCTGGGCTCTCTCGGCCGCATTTTCTTTCCCCTTTCAGGACATCGGTGCCAAAATGGCACGTTTTTATGATGGCGCGTTGAGCTACGTCTCGGCGGATTACCGCAATTATGGTAACCACGTTGTTATCAATTCGCCCGATTGCAAGTGTCCCCAAACAGGTACAAAGGTTCGGCCCATAATCGCGTCTAGGTTTCGGAACTTTGCAGGTCGCTCGCGCGAGATCGTCCGATTCGTGCGAAAAATTCACCAGGTCGTACCGTAAAAAATCGTTTACCTAAGAATAGAAACCGCGTTTCCTCGAACCGATCGAATCGTCCTAATCATATATCGCATTTCGTTCAACATGCGGTACTGCGAGTTTCTCGCTCAAATGTACTTGGCTCGAAACTCTACCGCGTTTCTTGATGGACCGTCAATACCCAATCCCTTTGATGTTCTTGTGACCGTGATAAAAAAGTGTGGTATATATTCCCACTACTGAGGTAAAAACGGCGTCATTTTCTACAAGTCATATGACATACAACTTCGGAATGAAAAATTGAATTTCTTTCCAGAGTAGCATTATCTCCTTCTATAGTTGCATATTAAACCACTTGTAGGAACTGGCGCCTATTCTATCACTATAGTAGTAACGTATACCACTCTTTTTCCTCGGTGCGCAAAAAAATTAAGAGAGGGCGAACAAGGAACGATTTTCTCTCCTGCTATCAGATTATCACCTCGCACCCGTTTAGGAAAATCAGAGGGTAAAAAAAGAAAAAGAGAGGGTCCCTTGTTTTCTGTCTCCCTGGGTCCATGATCAAGAACGCCTATATCTCCATAACGATATTTCACCCGAGGGCGATCGATTCGAGGGAATCGGTTTCTTCGATTCTCTTTAAAAACAAAGAAAGTAGAAAAAAAAATCCTTCCCGGGCGAGATCGAGCCCGAATAAGAAAGGATCAGAGGGGAAGAAAGGAAAACCGAGAACCTAGGAGCGATCCTAGGGGACGAGGGAAAAATCTCCAAGGAAAGAGAGGGAGATAGAGAGAAGGAAAGAGAGGAGAACTCTTCTTGAACGTCCGGTTGCTCGTCATCCCCAGTGGCGCCCACGGTCCAGGAGTTCGCGTTCACGAAGCTACCTATGAACGCGGGGGAGTTCGCGAATCTCCAGTGCACCGTGCCCACGGGGGACTTGCCCTTGAAAATCCGATGGAGTTACCCTGGAGTGGAGATGGGCGGTGCCTCCGGCGTGCTCGCGAAGAAGGTCGCGGATCGCGTGAGCATGCTCATGATCACGACCATAACGGAGAAACACGCGGGGGAGTACGTCTGCACGGCCGAGAACGCGGCGGGGACGGCTTCTCATTCGACCTTCCTCACCGTAAACGGTTCGGCGTCCATTCTTGTCCGATGTGTCTTGCATAGAGCCGGTCCTGGTCGACGTCCGGTCGCCGACGTCGAACGTCGAGTTGCTCATTGATGACGTCGAATTGCCCATCAATGACGTCGAACGTTGAGTTGCCCATTGATGATATCGAATTGCCCATTGATGACGTCGAACGTTGAGTTGTCCATTGATGACATTGAACGTCGAGTTGCCTATTGATGACATTGAACGTCGAGTTGCCTTTTGATGACGTCTAATGTTCAGTTGCTTCTTAATGGTATCGAACGTCGAGTTGCCCATTGATGACGTCGAATTGCCCATCGATGACGTCGAACATTGAGTTGTCCATTGATGACATTGAACGTCGAGTTGCCTATTGATGACATTGAACGTTGAGTTGCCTTTTGATGACGTCTAATGTTCAGTTGCTTCTTAATGATATCGAACGTCGAGTTGCCCATCGATGACGTCGAACGTCGAGTTGCCCATCGATGACGTCGAACGTCGAGTCATCCATTTACCGCGGTAACGAATGGTGCGCGTTTCATGGTTTCCGGGTGGAGATGAGTAAGCGACGTTCGGGGAATAAATTACGAATCTAGAGGATAGATAAAAATAATCGTTCGAATGGGTCATCGGTTCGGATCGACGTTCGGACAGTCAGACGACCGGACGTCCGGGTACCAGAGCGGTCCAGATAGTCGGCACAGTCCTGGTTTTTCTGCACTCCGTCACCGTCACCTCTCCTGGTCCCTCGCTGAACAGGACGATAGACTTCTTCACATCCTAGTGAAAAATCCAGGGTTTTAAAAAGAAAAAATGAAAAGGGACTTGCGATTTCCTTTCCCGATCCCACATAGCTAGGGATGAACCGGTACGGAGCATCGACGTCCGCTCCTCGAGTTGCCGATTTACAGCTTCCTGGTACTCGGGGGAAGAATCCATAAATCTTATAAAATGAAAATAATATTGAAAAAGGACTCGCCATATCCCTTCCCGATCCCGGATGGCCGGGGATGAGCCGGTGCCGAGTATCGAGGTCCTTGGGTATCGATGGGGAATTTCTATGGCGAGAAACGGGGGTGCTCGCGTCGGTTCCTCCCTGGCGATGACCTCCCGGTTCCCAGTCGGACCCCAACTGGGCCCGATCGCCTTCAACGCGGAGGTCGCCAACTGGGGGGACTCGGTGTCCGTGGCCTGCTCGGTCCTGAAGGGCGACTCCCCCATGGAGATCTCCTGGGCGTTCGACGGGGAGCCTCTGGACTCCTCCCGGGACTCCGGCATCTCCGTGACCAGGATCTCGAAGCATCTGAGCACCCTCAGCATCGACGGGGTCTCCGCCGGACACGCGGGCGAGTACGTGTGCTCCGCGTCCAACCTCGCTGGGATGGTCAGCCGGTCGACCAGGTTGACCGTCAACGGTACGCCCTGAACGGTACCAGGAACGGTTCCGAGAAATCGGAACTCCTGGAGCACCTATAGGGTGTCGCACGCACAGCTCGCCCTCCGCCGCCCTTCCAGCCCTCCGGAAACGGAAGCAAAGACTTTTCTCCCGAAACGAGACACCCATCGCCCTCGTCGTGAAATCGGAGCAACCGGTCGTCGTTGAGGCGTTACGAAAGGGTCGTTTTTTACCCCGAGAGAAAAAGATTCAGCGAACCAAAGAAATATTTTTCCTCATTCGAAGAATCATTATTTGACTCGAATGAACTCAAAGAAATTGTCATCATTCCGAAGTAACGTCGCCTTCAATTGATTAGAGTTTGAGTTAAATAATTATTCTTCGAATCGTCAAGATATTTCGTTGGTACTATTCAAGGAAATATATACGTCTATACCAGAACGTTAAAATGTTCATAAAACTTGTCTCTAAACTAAGTGCACCGAATAATTTGAAACCTTAACACTCAACGATGGAAGTCTTAAAACTCAGGAAATTTCGTGTTTAAAATGAAAAATCTCTTTTTTTCTACTTCTTGTCCGGGATAAATACAATCATTTGTTCCCGAAAATTGAAACTTCCTGTAAAGTTTCGAATCATTCGGTGCACCCTGTTTGGGGGAAAATTTTATAAATATTTTGACGTGCCGGTTTATGTATACGACCCTTTCATATCATCTTAACCTCCGATTAGTTAACCGCCGATTCGTTGACCGTGGTTTCCATTAGTCGCGCCTCAGATTCTCCCCTTCGCATTCGGCGACGAGCCCGCCAATTGGAACGAGCTGGTCTCGGTTACGTGTTCCGTCATCAAGGGGGACCTGCCCGTCGAGATATCCTGGGCCTTCGACGGCGTCCCCATCGACCCGACCTCGGCCTCCGACGTGCTCCTGGCCAGCACCAACAAGCGCAACAGCGTCCTCAGCATCGAGGCGGTCGCGGCTAGACACGCCGGAGAGTACACTTGCTCCGCCTCGAATCGAGCTGGCGCCACCAGTCATTCCGCCATCCTTAAAGTCAACGGTACCTCCCAGTCCTCGAAGAAGAGTGCCGAGGGTGCCGCTCGAAGATGGCGCGAGACCCTGAAAGGAACGCGCGTACCCTGAGAAACAAATTTCTTATCAAACTTACGAATAAGAAGAAATATTTTCAGTTTATTCGAGTGAAATAATGATTCTCTGAATTTGGTTGAAAATTTAAGAACACAGGCTCACCGAAAACCAAGTCAAAATCAATTCCCTTTGTTTTCATATGTGATGAAAACGACTAAACCGAAGAAAAAAAAAAAAAACTCGGCGATCACCTCTAGACATAAAGTTATTTGCCTTTGATGTTGAGACCGTAACGACTGTCAGACACGTAAACATCCTCAAGGGGTCCTTTAATCGGGAATAGGTTAGGTTCTGGTTTTCTGTGATGGTGCTTTGCAGCACCTATTTTGGTCTGTAGTATCCGTTAGGACATTTTAGCCAACTTAAACTATTAAACTTTTTTGTGTGTAATTCCTTTGTTCTGTATTTGAGTTTGTCTTTTTTATGGGGTTGAGGACGGACGTCTTGCCGCCATCGCGATCGACGGGACCCTCGAATAGGTTAGGTTTGTTTTTGGGGTGAGCCTTCATATGTAGTGCAAAGGTACAAGAAATGCGATGGAAACATTCCGGTGGATATATCAAGCCCGGATTTGGTGTAATGAGGACATTTGTAAACAAAGGGAATTGATTTTGAGTCGATGGTTGCGACGTGTTTAACAGCCGTTACGGTCTCACATTAAAAGGTAAACAATTGTATTTCTAGAGGTGAGCGCCGAGTTGTTTCTTCGTTATTTTAGACGTTTTCATCACATTTGAGAACCAAGGGGATTGATTTTCATTGGATTTTAGGTGAGTCCAATCTTCATAAATTATTCCCGGAATTTTCGAAAACATTTCATCGGTACCGCCCAAAGAAGTATCTCTTACGCTCGATGGATTTCTTATCCTCAAGGTACGTGACGAAAACCTGTGTTCTCGAGTGGTCCTGTAGACTTTAGAAACGAGCTCACCGTTAAAACGCACTCCGAAGAGCATTCCGAACGGAATTCTGGCATCTTCGAGAGACGCCCTCCACTTTAGGCGACGCACCTTAACCTAACCCTCCTCCACCCATAAATATCGGACGATTCCGAGTCGCGATGTCTTTCGACCTAAATATCCGCGGTGAATTTATCCACCCCCTTGGTCTCTTGTTCGCGCAGTCGCGCCGCAGATCCGGCAGTTTTCCTTCGGCGACGACCCCCTAAATTCCGGCGAAATGCTCTCCATCTCCTGCACCATAGTCAAGGGTGACTTCCCAGTTAACCTAACCTGGACCTTCGACGACAGACCCGTCGACTTTCGCGCGACCGACGTGCACGTCATGACCACCCAGCGGGTCAGCTTCTTGAGCATCGACAGCGTGGCGGCCCGGCACGCCGGGAAGTACACTTGCACGGCCGCCAACGCGGCAGGAGCGGACAGTCACACGGCCGTCCTGTCCGTCAACGGTACACCCTCTGCGAGAAGCGAGAAGCAGCGTTGCCAGAAGTCCCGCACGATTAGCCCCTTCAAAAAGCCCGCGGCGAGATTTTTCCCCCCACTCTACCGGCCCCGCTCTGCCCCTCTATGGCTTAGTTCACCCCATAGACATAGGAATATAAGGTTTGTTCGTTTTCCCTACACTTTCTATACTTTTACGATAACTGTACACTTTGGCGTTCGTTTTGACGGAAGTGACGTCGCTGTTCGTTTTGCGAGGGCATCTACCCCAAGTGTACACTTTTTCTACACTTTCTACCCTCGATCCCGAGCGCGTGCAAGAAGGGTAGCCTGCGAATTTGGCGGCAAATTTCAAAATTGAAAAGACCAACAAACAGGAAAATACAAAATTTATGCTAACGTCTCAACGTAATATAAATAGAAGTAATTATTAATGCATCTTCTTCATGTATAGAACGATTTAGCGTTTTAGTTTTGTGCATAATGTTTGAAAAAATGTGCAATAATTATGTATTACTACGTAACCGCGGTTGGAATGAACTAAACTATAATTTTTCCCTGTTGTAGTTAAATTGTTTTTCATTCTACTGGAATAATATTCTGACCCTTATTGATCCTCAATACTTGAAATTCGTGCACCTAACCTTCTGCACCTTTCAGGAAAAGTGTAGTACCCTCGTTACCCTCGAGTGTAGAAAGTGCAGACAAAGCGAACAAACCTATAACATAAAGTACAATCTTAGACAAGGGGAGTGAAGCCGAATTGCAGGAGGATTTGGTGCCTGAATCGAATTGGTTAAATTTGTACAGATGCTCAGTACCGCTAATTATAGTTTGTAAATACGGTAAACAATTTTAATACCCGTGAAATATAATTTTCGTATTATTACTTTCAGACTTTTTTTTTTTTCTAATTTTGAAAGTCCGACCGGTTCTTATAGCACGATACAATACAGTGCACAATTTTTTTCACTTTTATAAAAACTATTTTTCTTTTATAACCTCACAAAAACACGTTATTACTTCCCACGTTTGTCATAACCTCCTTGGAATACATCTCTACGTCATTACGCTTGCGTAAAATATTAGCCAATCAAAGTTAGGCACCAAATACCTCGTCACCCTCCCCGCAGCATTACACTCTGTCTCTATATTCCTACGTCTATGGTTTACCCTGCTCACTCGGTATGCGTACTAATTACGTGGTTTTATCAATCCAATAGCGTAAACGACTGTATATCAACTTGACACGGTATGCTCGAAAAATGCGGATCGTTCCATCTTGGTACTCCATTGTTTACGCCCAGAGTTTAATAAAACTGCACCTTAGTACGCATACCAAATGATCGGTGTAAATTAAGTCAGGGTCGTTGCGGGGCCAGTATAGGTAAAGGGGGTTGGGGAATGAGATAAGGGGATGGCGTTAAGTATTCGGTGCCGTTCGCGCAGGCTTTTAAATATATTTGGCGCGAAACTCAATCGAGTTTCTTGATAAGGGGAATGGTGGGGGTACGTGGAGTGGGGATAAAAATCCTGCGCGAATTTTCCTATCTGGCAGCTCTGACGAGAAGCGTGCAGCGCTCGCCCGTCCAGCGCGCGGCCAGGCGGAGTGGTGGGGGAAGCCGCTACCCCCACTCCTCTTAGTTCCTCTTAGCTCCGCCCACTCCTCCACTCTGCGCACTCGACGGCCGACCGCTGCACCGTGCAGACCTATCTGCTCCTATCGTTGCTCTTTCTCTCTCTCTCTTTTTCTCTCTATTTCTCTCTGTCGCTAAAGTACTCTGTCGCTGTGTTTTCGTTCGCCCCTCCCCACGTAATACTACGATAATCCCCGCTCCAATTTCCACCCCGACGTTTACGATTCGTCTCCAAGGCGCATTGTCCTCGAAGTAAGACCCCGTCGACCATCGTCGAGGGAGAAATCTCGTTTATCGACGCACGGTGGTCCAAAGTGCATTAGGGCAACCACAATTGTGTACCTCTTACGATCTTAGCCTTCAAGTTTTCATCTTTCGTCTACATATACATTACGACATTTTGATATTAATATAATACTAATTTGTATTCCATATACAGCCATACTAGACTCGCAGAAAGTGAAAAACTACAAGTACCCATTCCATCGTCCCCGAATTTTGACGAAGTAACACCCAAGTCGATATTTCAACGAGCTTGAGAGATATTAAGAAATTTGAAAAAACACGTCCCACCCCTCTTCACCCCCTTGGGGGTTGAATTTCGATGAATCCCTTCTTATTGGGCATCCGTGTTACAAAAGGAGCATATCCCCAAAATTTCACGTTTACATGCTCAGCGGTTTGTCTTGGACGATGGCGAGTCGGTCAGAGAGGGGGTGGCATTTGGCTTTTATGTATAAAAATGATTGCCGTTCCGAAAATGCGCTTTGGACCACTTATGGCGGTCCCGGGGAACGTTCCAGTGGCCCCCCAGATCGCCGCCTTCTCGTTCGGCGACCAAGCGGCGAACGCGGGCGACATGGCGATCGCACAGTGCGCGGTGGTCCAGGGTGACTTGCCGGTCGACATCTCTTGGTCCTTGAACGGTAGACCCGTGGGCGTCGACCTCGACACCCGGGACGTCCTCGTGAGCAGGAGCGGCAGGAGGGTCGGCACCCTGACCATCGACTCGGTCGCGGCGCGCCACGTCGGCGAGTACTCCTGCACGGCCAGGAACGCCGCGGGCTCGGCCACGCACTCCGCGGTGCTCTCCGTGAACGGTACGCAGGTCGGGAACTTCCGGTAGGAAAAGTGACCGGAAGTCCCATTCTCGCCACGCCGTCGACTGCACTTTCTTCGTCTCGACACCGCTCGCATTCGCACCTTCGCATGGGGCCGCAAGTTCCAGACGTTATTTTGTAAGGGAGAAATCATTTCTTAAGCCTTTTGACGTATGGGCGAAATTCGCCGACACGTGCAGGCGACATTCGACCAAACGTCGGACGAATTTAACCCCTTGCGCTACAATGACCAGCTAGACTCCTCATGAGGTTTTAATGGCCAACTGTGCAGTGACGAACTGTACTCGTTATCATAATTAGAAGTATGCTGTAGGGGAAAATTTTTTCATAATTTCATCGAAGCGCAACGGGTTAGTGGCCAAAGGGTTAAGGCGATGGGGAAGTGGCGTCAAAGAGGTCTTTATGAAACTATTCTCCGTACTGGGGGTACCGAATCGTTTCAAACCTCACAACGTGAATAGGAAGACTATAAGGAAGGTTCTGAAACTCAAGGAATTTCAATTCTTTTCAAATTTGTTTATAGGTATTTTAAAAATAGTTTAGGAAAAATGAAATTTCGCCAGTGTCAGGACCTACCTTAGGGTCTCCATAATCACGTTTTAAAGTATGAAACGATTTGAGACACCCAGTTCGTAGAAAAGTTTTATGAACGATTGAGCTTTCGGGTGCCACTTTCACATCCCCTTAAATACGAAGAGGCCCGAACTTGGGGGATGGGCTGATATTTTTATGCATTTATTATTCCGCACCGATCGCCAGGTTCGGGATTAATCGGGATGCACGAGCTTGCGCGGGGTCGAGAGATAGCTGCGAGTGGATGAGTGTGAGTCGGGTTCGTGTCCGGGTCGGTGTCTCTTGACAAAGGGGTGGTCGGATCCTGGGAAAGGCGATCGATGGAGAAAAGTGGGTGGGAAAATGGTTACTCATCCTGATAAAAAATCTGATCGTACCGCAGTCGCCCCGGAGATCGCGCCGTTCACCATTGCCGAGAACCCGGCCAACTGGGGCGACTCGATATCCGTCGTCTGCGCGGTCTTGAAGGGCGACTTACCCATCGATATCTCTTGGGTCTTGAATGGCGAGCCCATCGGGCCTGGGAACGCGGACGTCAACGTCTTGGCCACCACTAAACGAAACAGCATCCTCAGCATCGATTCCGTCGCCGCTAGACACGCGGGGGAATATACATGCTTGGCTTCGAACCGCGCCGGGGCCACCAGCCATTCGTCCATCCTGGCCGTGAACGGTAATGGCCGGCATCTTCCTGGCACCTCTGCGACTCCTTCGACTCATTCCGTATCCTGAACCTTCCTGGGTGCCCGGGCTCCATCGGCGTCATCGATCATTCATCATATGATACCCTCGGAAACACGTGACAAGCTACGCCGTATGCACCTGGAATCAAAGGGTTATTCACTCAGGCATTCGTGGATTTTAATGACTCGTATCCACCTGGAAGTAGAACTTACAAGAGCTACTCGCAGACAGCTTTTTTCCGGTAATTCCGACACGGCTTAGCAACAATGCGAAATATTTCCTGAAAAAAATCTCTCTTTATCCGGAAAAAATCCATACGAGTTCAATAATCGGCGCCCTAGGAGTCGATTCTCGAGTTAATGCTAATTTTTTCGCATGCAAATAGACTCCCATGATAAATTTCCCATTGTTGCGAGGTCCGTCATTGGTCAATTTTGGAAAGTAAACGAAATCGCCAATTTCACGTGCGAAAGTTGATTACACGAACTCAAAAATTGAGCCCCTGGTTTGGGACGGATACAGAGACTTCTTCTTTCGTCTTTTAGCCCTGCCCTCTTTAAGGTGATGAGAAAGTGGTGTCGAAGAGGTATTGATTATAAAACTTTTCTCCCAACTCGGTTTACCGAATAGTTTGAAACTTTACAATGTGGATAGGGAGACTATAAGGAAGGTCCTGAAACACATGGAATTTTAATTCTTTTCAAATTTCTTTATAGGTATTTTAAAAATAGTTTATAAAAAATGAAATTTCGCCGGATTCAGGACCTACCTTAGGGTCTCTATAATCACGTTTTAAAGTATGAAACGATTTGAGACTCAGTTCGTAGAAAAGTTTTATGAACAATTGAGCTTTCGGATGCCACTTTCACATCCCCTTAAGCCAGGGTTTTGCAGCGTGACAGTATGCATTACATCGCGTTTATACTTTCGTTTCTAAATCCGTTGTTTCGTTTTCATGGTCTTCGGTGTATCTCCCATAAATCCTCAATTTTGCTACGTTAAATACTTTGTTTAAACAAATGTTGTCTTATTTGTCGCGGTTTATTCACGAGACACATTTCTCGACACAACGGCGGCACCTCCACCACCCCCCCGAAGGTGTCTAGAATCCCGGAAGCTCTCCTCTCCCGTCTCTTTTCTCTGGGTATGGAGTTTCTCTCGCCGACCGAACGGTCGGCAGGAGTCAATGTTGGGTCCTCGTAGACGAGAAAGTCCGAATTCGCAGTCGGGCCGCAAATAGCGCCGTTCTCGATGGGCGAGGGTCCGGCGAATTGGGGCGACACGGTCACGGCCACGTGCACGGTCATCAAGGGGGACCAGCCGATGAGCATAGAATGGGCGCTGAACGGGGTGCCCATCTCGGGGGAGTACTCGGACGTGACGGTGGCCACCGGCAAGAGGGTCAGCCTGCTGACGATCGAGGCGGTCTCGGCGAGACACTCTGGGGAGTACACCTGCTCCGCCGCGAACGAAGCCGGCGGGACCAGCTACTCCGCCGCCCTGGCGGTCAACGGTACGGAAGGAGTCCGGACATCCGCTGAGAGAAAGAAACATATCATTGAATAGCGCCAAAGAAATACATTTCAAATTCGGAGAATAATTATTCCGCTCAAATAAGTCACCAGTGATGGAAAATATACGTGAAATTAGCCTCATAAATGATCAGGAATTGAGTCGTTAGGGTATTGCTTATGAGTCCCATTCGGAACTCATACTTGCATTACACAATGACGGAGGAATAATACTTAAATATGAAACAAAGTTAAGTACATGCAATGTCTCGATGTTTGTCCGCATATGTATAGCTAAATTTATCTCACGCATTGCTGATTAACAATTGCAGCATCTGTAGCTCATACTTGAGTCATGGTGGATACATGAACATGGAGCAACGTCATATTTAGCTGAAATTTGTAGTATTGATTAACTTTATAGAAATTCCACAAATTAATGTCACGGAATGATGTTAAATTTTCCATAAATTTTCAGTTCATAAATGTCGGTTATGGCATAACTGGCATATGACTCGAGTATGCGGTAAATATATTACTACAACCATTAACGACAAATTTATCGGAAATTTTTCTTCAAATTTATTGCGTAACGTGCGTACATACATTGCAGACATTTCATGCAGTGAATTGTCCGCAAATTGTTTTGCAAATCGATTTTCCTCATCATACGATAATCGTGAATTTCTATCTGGGCAATTAATTAGAGTTTGAGTGCAATAACTATCCTTTGGATTATTTCTTTGATTCGATGATACTTTCTTCTCGGTGCGCCTCCATTCCCGGCACCGACGCGGAACGTCGAGGCGATTCCCAGAGAGATTCGATCCCCTTCCTGGACAACGGTCGTCGCGATTCTCGGTTTTCCCTCGGGTCGAACCGCAGGACGCTCGTGCTCTGTTCCGTCTTCTGCCCGGTTAACCGCAAGGGCCCCTCGTCCTGGTTGCAGTCGCGCCCCACATAAGCCCGTTCTCCATAAGCGAGGGCCCGGCCAACTGGGGCGACGCGGTCTCGGCGACGTGCACCATCGTCAAGGGCGACTTCCCCGCGCGCATCGTTTGGACCTTCGACGGCCGGCCCGCGGACCGCGTGCATCCGGACCTGACCATAAACCGCATCAACCGGCACATGAGCGTGCTGAGTATCGAGTCGGTGGCGGCGCGACACGCCGGGGAGTACACTTGCGTGGCGGCGAACCGCGCCGGAAACGCCACTCACTCGGCCGTCCTCGTGGTCAACGGTACGCGGAGGCGAGGGTCCAAAATGGCAGCCGCGTTCCCACGACCCGGGCATTGCCTCTCCTTCCAAATCCTCCGGAATAGGCGAGTCGATTCGAGCCGTTCGAGCGGGGAGGGCGGCCCTAGGTCGGGTGTAGGACTCGGCTTGACCGTGACGTAGCGGGCTAGAAAAGAAAATATTGAACCGAAGAAATATTGTTCTTAGAACTACCAAAGAAGTATCTTGTTAATTCAAGGATTAATTACCTCACTCGGATAAACTGGAATAAATTGGACGCAACATTTATTCCGGATTGTAGCAATTTGTTTGAGTCGATTAATTATTCCTGGAATTGACAACACGTTTTTCTGGAACTGTTCAAAGAATTATTTCTTTGATTTAAGGGATTTTTTTTTCCTCGGTTTAGGTACTCGCGTTGTAGCGAACTAGGTGTTAGGTACCCGCGTTGCAGCAAACTAGGTCCTAGGTATTCGTGTCGCAGCGGACAAGGTCCTAGGTCCTCGTGTCGCAGCGGACGAGGACTTAGATACACGCGTCGCAGCGAACTGGGTCCTAGGTCCTCGCGTGGTAGCAAACTAGGTCCCAGGTCCTCGCGTCGTAGCAGACAAGGTCCTAGGTCCTCGCATCGCAGAAAACTAGGTCCTAGCTCCTCGCTTTCAGTCGCCCCTCAAATCGCGCCGTTCACCATGAGCGACCTGCCCGCCAACTGGGGAGAGGCCGTGTCCGCCGTGTGCACGGTCTTAAAGGGGGACCTGCCGATCGAGGTGTCGTGGGCGTTGAACGGCGTGCCACTAGCCGGGTCCGATCGGTACCCGGACGTGAGCGTGTCCAGCACCGGGAAGAGGGTCAGCCTGCTGACCATCGAGGCCGTGTCGGCGAGGCACGCCGGAGAGTACACCTGCACGGCGGCCAACCTGGCCGGGGCGACCAGCTACTCCGCGACCCTGGCGGTCAACGGTACGCCGGGGCACCGATCGATCCCTCCATGAGACCCTCTGTCCGTTTTCCACCCCCAAGAGGGCGACCTCGACCCTTTCTTCGGTCAATGACCCCTCGTCGCCTCCAGTTGCGCCGCAGATCGCGCCCTTCTCCATCGGGGACGTCCCCGTCAACTGGGGCGAGCGTATCTCCGCCGTCTGCAACATCGTGAAGGGCGACTATCCCATCCGGATCCGGTGGAGTCACGACGGGGAGGAGATCTCGCCGGAAACGCGACCGGACGTGGCCGTGACCAAGACCGGGGAAATGATATCCCTAATCAGCATCGACGCCGTGACCGCTCGCCACGCGGGGGAGTACACCTGCGTGGCCAGCAACGACGCAGGGTCGACGAGTCGCTCGGCGATCCTCTCGGTCAATGGTACCCCACGTGGATTTAGGTTATGTCGCGGCGAGGTCCTCCCATCTCCTCCGTCCCAATGGACACAAAATAGTGGAATTCACGTTCACAATTCATTATATACCTAAAACTAGGAGAAACAGGGTGGTACATAAAATTCAAACGTTTATCTCCCACGGTTTATTTTCCCTACGTTAAATATACATTTACATAAACGTGTACTTTAACGCAACGTTTTGACGTTATTTCAACGTATTGTGAACGATTATTATACAGACTATGTTTAAACGACGTTCGTGTCACATGACTAAAACGATAGTTTAATAAACGTAGAATAAACGTTATATCAACGGTGAATTCGTCGTGGAAAGGTCGGGCATTGGAACGGGGAAAAGATTTCCTTTTTTTTTCCAACACACTTTGTACGATTATTGTCAAAGATTTGACACCGTTTCTCAGGGTGTATTCCACCACTTTGGGTTTATTGGGCTTTCTTTCCTGACTCCTGAAGACGACTATACGTGGGGCGGCGTCGGATCATGAGCATGAACAAGGTCGCGATCGGACAAATTTGGGGTATCTTTTGATTTCGATTTCGCCATCTCGCTCCAGTTGCTCCGCAAATCGCGCCCTTCTCCATCGGGGACGAGGTCGCGAACTGGGGCGAGCAGGTGTCCGCGGTGTGCAGCATCCTGAAGGGCGACTCGCCCATCGAGATCCAGTGGAGTCTCAACGGAGAGGAGATCTCGCCGGAGACTCATCCAGACATTTCTATCGCCAAAACCGGGAAGATGATATCCGTGCTGAGCGTCGCCTCCGTGACGGCGCGACACGCCGGGGAGTACACCTGCGTCGCCGGGAACCTCGCCGGGACCACGAGTCGGTCGGCGACCCTTTCGGTCAATGGTACAATTTCGCATAACGATGTCGCGTTGTGGCGAGGTCCTGCATTCCCCTCCCGTGACGAAACCGGACGACCGAAATTCATGACTTCCCTTGATCATTGACCATAGTCGCGCCGCAGATCGCGCCGATTTCCTTCGGCGAGGACCTGGTTAACTGGGGCGAGCAGGCGTCTGCCGTCTGCAGCGTCCTGAAGGGCGACTTCCCAATCGATATTCGGTGGAGTCTGAACGGGGAGGAGATCTCACAGGAGTCGCACCCGGACGTATCCGTGACCAGGACTGGGAAAAAGACCTCCTTACTGAGCATCGACTCCGTGACCGCGCACCATGCCGGAGAATACACCTGCGTCGTCGGAAACCTGGCCGGAACCACGAGTCGGTCGGCGACCCTTTCGGTCAATGGTACAATTTCGCATAATGATGTTGCATTGTGGCGAGGTCCTGCATTCCCCCTTCCGTGACGAAACCGGACGACCGAAATTCACGACTTCCTTTGACCATTGACCATAGTCGCGCCGCAGGTCGCGTCGATTTCCTTCGGGGAGGAGCTGGTTAATTGGGGTGAGCAGGCGACCGCGATCCGAATCATCCTAAAGGACGTTTCCGCGTTGACATTCGAGGTTCTGCACCCTCCCTCCGTGACGAAATCAGACGATTGAAATTCACGACATCCTTTGACCATTGACCATAGTCGCGCCGCAGATCGCGCCCATTACCTTCGGGGAGGAGCTGGTTAATTGGGGCGAGCAGGCGTCTGCGATCTGCAGCGTCCTGAAGGGCGACTTCCCAATCGATATTCGGTGGAGTCTGAACGGGGAGGAGATTTCGCAGGAGTCGCACCCGGACGTATCCGTGACCAGGACTGGGAAAAAGACCTCCTTACTGAGCATCGACTCGGTTACTGCGCGCCATGCCGGGGAGTACACCTGTGTCGCCGGGAACCTTGCCGGGACCACCAGCCGGACGGCCGCCCTTTCGGTCAATGGTACCACTCGTTGCAGTAGTTGCATTGCATTATGGCGAGATCCTGCCGTTCTCTTTCCTGCAACGGAGTCAATGAGTTTCCCTAGTCTCACGCTTTACCCATGCTGATCTTTTCCTCTGGCCTTTGACCATAGTCGCGCCGCTGATAGCTCCCATATCCTTCGGGGCCGAGCTCGTCAACTGGGGCGAGCAAGTCACCGCGGTCTGCAGCGTCCTGAAGGGCGACCTCCCGATCGACATCCGGTGGAGTCTCGACGGCGAGGAGATCTCCCCGGAGACACACCCGGACGTGGCCGTGACCAGAACCGGGAAAAAGAGCTCCATGTTAGGCATCGACGCCGTGACCGCGCGACACGCCGGGGAGTACACCTGCGTGGCCGGCAACCTTGCCGGGACCACGAGTCACTCGGCGACCCTGTCGGTGAATGGTACCGTTGGATGCAAAATAGAGTACTTGCTTCCTTGCGGCGAGGTCCTGCAGTCCTCTCTCCCGCCCCGGGGTCCATGAACGTCCTTGATCGCACGGCTGACCCGTACCGATCTTCTCCTCTGACCTTTGACCGCAGTCGCGCCGCTGCTAGCTCCCATATCCTTCGGCGCCGAGCTCGTCAACTGGGGCGAGCAGGTCTCCGCTGTCTGCAGCGTCCTGAAGGGCGATTTCCCGATCGAAATCCGGTGGAGTCTCAACGGCGAGGAGATCTCCCCGGAGACGCATCCGGACGTAGCCATAATCAAGACCGGGAACATGATATCGCTGATGAGCGTGACCTCCGTGACCGCGCGACACGCCGGGGAGTACACCTGCGTGGCGGGAAACCTTGCCGGGAGCACGAGTCACTCGGCGACCCTTTCGGTCAATGGTACCGTTGGTTGTGTATTTGCATATTTGCGTACTTGAATACTTGCTTGGCATCGCGGCAAGACGTCGCACCCCATCCTCCGTCGCTCCCTCTCGGGTGGCCCCGGTCTGGACCGCGTTTCCGGGGTACTCGTTGCGGGATTTATCCGCAATATCGTAATCGGTGACCCTTGACCGCAGTCGCGCCGCAGGTCTCGCCCATATCGTTCGGGGACGAGCCCGTGAACTGGGGGGAGCAGGTGTCCGCGACCTGTAGCATCCTGAAGGGCGACTTCCCGGTCGAGATCCAGTGGAGCCTGAACGGAGAGGAGATCTCCCAGAGGACTCGTTCCGACGTGGTGATCACGAAAGTTGGCAGCAAGACTTCCGTGTTGACCATTGACTCCGTGACCGCTCGGCATGCCGGGGGAGTACACCTGCGTCGTCGGAAACCTGGCAGGGAGCACGACTCGGTCGGCGACCCTTTCGGTCAATGGTATCACCCTCAGCGCAATTAATTGCTTCTCCGGCCTTCACGTTCTTGATCCTTCCCTGATTCTTCCCAGGTGGCTCCGGAATTGACCATGACTCTTCTTTAATCCTTTAAAAAAAAATGTGTATAAGCTTGGGAACGGTAATTGACCTCTGACCATAGTCGCGCCGCAGTTGGCTCCCCTGTCCTTTGGAGACGAGCCCGCGAATTCGGGGGAGCAAGTGTCGGCAACGTGCAGCGTCTTGAAGGGCGATTCCCCCATCGACATCCAGTGGAATCTGAACGGGGAACGGATCTCCTCGGGAACTCACCCGGACGTATTGGTCACGAAGAGCGGGACGAAGATCTCCCTGCTGAGCATCGACGCTGTGACCGCGCGCCATGCAGGGGAGTACACCTGCGTGGCGAGCAACCTGGCCGGGACCATCAGTCGGTCGGCAACCCTGGCGGTCAATGGTACCGTCAGCCATCGGAAGTAGTCTGAAATCTAGAGCGCGCACCTCCTCCTGACTCGATCCTTGCTTCCGATCCTTTCATCCAATTGCAATCGGCGACATATATACTTCCGGATCAGGTCCATTTTAGAGATGCAGGTCTAGTATCGGGCATAGTTACCTCTAGAATTTTCGGTGGAGTTTCCATCTCCCGCCACTGGTGCGACCTGACGTTACGACCCCGATTTTTGACCATAGTCGCGCCGCAAATCGTTCCCATGACCTTCGGAGACGGGCCCGCGAACTGGGGCGACCAGGTGTCGATAACCTGCAACATCGTCAAGGGTGATTATCCCATCGATATCCAGTGGAGTCTGAACGGCGAGGAGATCACCCCGGAGAGGCATCCGGACATCTCTGTGACGAAAAACAGCAAAAAGATATCCTTCCTCAGCATCGACGCCGTGGCCGCGCGACACGCTGGGGTGTACACCTGCGTGGCGGGCAACCTGGCCAGGACCACGAGTCGCTCGGCGACCCTTTCCGTCAACGGTACCATTTCCCATATAGGGTACCCTACCCCAAGGTCCTGCACTCCTTGTCCAACTTCTTTCCTCCTTGATCCCGGTCCCGGACCGTCCGATTTCGAGAACTGATTCAGTCAGTCATCGATTGACCATTGTCCTTGCCGTTCTTGACCGCAGTCGCGCCGCAGATCGCTCCCATTTCCTTCGGGGACGAGCCCGTTAATTGGGGCGAGCAGGCTTCCGCAATGTGCAACCTCCTAAAGGGCGACTTCCCCATCGAGATCCAGTGGAGTCTGAACGGGGAGGAGATCTCCTCGAGGACCCACCCCGACGTGGCAATTACCAAAGCCGGCAGGAAGACCTCGGTCTTGACCATTGACTCCGTGGCCGCGCGACATGCTGGGGAATACACCTGTGTCGCGAGCAACCTTGCCGGGACCACAAGTCGCTCGGCAATCCTTTCCGTCAACGGTACCTTTGTTCTACTAAAATCGTCCTGCGGCGAGGTCCTGTCCATCCATGTTCTCCATTCCTTCGGTGGCTCTGGAATTGACCGTAACGTTTGCGTTTATACCGCGAGTTGGAATCAAACGAGTCGGTTTTCATTTGAGGTACGTTGACCGTCGACTCTGACCTCTGACCGTAGTCGCGCCGCAGATGGCGCCCCTGTCTTTCGGGGATGAACCAGCGAGCTGGGGGGAACAGGTGTCCGCGACCTGCAGCATCCTGAAGGGCGACTTCCCCGTGGAGATCCAGTGGAGTCTGAACGGGGAGGAGATTTCCTCGAGGACCCACTCCGACGTGGCGATTACCAAAACCGGCAGCAAGACCTCGGTCTTGACCATTGACTCCGTGGCCGCGCGACACGCTGGGGAGTACACTTGTGTCGCGAGCAACCTCGCTGGGACCACCAGTCGCTCGGCAATCCTTTCCGTCAATGGTACCATTTACCCTGTACAATTGTCCCGTAGAGAAAATAGTCCCGTCCTTTCATCTCCACCAACTCTTTCCTGGCTCTGGAATTTTATCGGAACGGGTTGCACCAGCTGACGAAAGGACCCAATTAACAGATTCCACGACGTGATACATTGACCGTATACCCTGACCTCTGACCCTAGTCGCGCCGCAGATGGTGCCTCTATCTTTTGGCGACGAGCCCGCGAACTGGGGGGAACAGGTGTCCGCGACGTGCAGCATCCTGAAGGGCGACTTCCCCATCGAGATCCAGTGGAGTCTGAACGGGGAGGAGATCTCCTCGAGGACCCACTCCGACGTGGTGATTACCAAAGCCGGCAGCAAGACCTCGGTCCTGACCATTGACTCCGTGGCCGCGCGACACGCTGGGGAGTACACTTGTGTCGCGAGCAACCTCGCTGGGACCACCAGTCGCTCGGCAATCCTTTCCGTCAACGGTACCAGTTGCCCTGTAAAATCGTCCTGTAGCGAAAATAGTCCCGCCCTTTCATCTCCACCAACTCTTTCCTGGCTCTGGAATTTTATCGGAACGGGTTGCACCAGCTGACGAAAGGACCCAATTAACAGTTTCCACGACGAGATACATTGACCGTATACCCTGACCTCTGACCCTAGTCGCGCCGCAGATGGCCCCTCTATACTTCGGGGATGAGCCCGCGAACTGGGGGGAACAGGTGTCCACGACGTGCAGCATCCTAAAGGGCGACTCCCCGATCGAGATCCAGTGGAGTCTCAACGGGGAGGAGATCTCGCCGAAGTCGCACCCGGACGTGACCGTAACCAGAACGGGGAAAAAAAGCTCCATGCTGGGCATTGACGCCGTGACGGCGCGACACGCGGGGGAGTACACCTGTGTCGCGAGCAACCTTGCCGGGACCACCAGTCGCTCGGCCATCCTTGCGGTCAATGGTACCGTTTCCCTTCTGACCGAACCCTGAGAAAAGGCGAGGTCGCACTCTTCTTCCACGACCCTTTCTTCTGATCCCAGGCCTCGATTCTTCGGACCAAAGATCTAGCCTTGACCATTGATCATCAGGCATGGTCAGGATAGGTCCTGATAGGTCGAACCTTCGCTGTTGACCGTGCTACTACCTTGAATATGAATTTAACGTTAACCAAGGGGGTCCTTCTTGACCGTTGACAGTAAGACATGGTCACGATGGATTCTGCTAGGTTGAATCATCCCTCTGGACCGTCCAACCATCTTGAATATAGATTTGACATTAACCAACGGGGTTTTCGCGATGCAGAGTAAACTTGACGTTAACCAACGGGATTTTCGCAATGAAGAGTAAACTTGACGTTAACCAACGGGATTTTCGCGATGAAGAGTAAATTTGATGTTAACCAAGGGAGTTCTTCTTGACCGCAGTCGCGCCGCAGGTGGCTCCCATGTCTTTCGGCGACGAGCCCGCCAACTGGGGCGACCAGGCGTCCGCGATGTGCAGCGTCCTGAAGGGCGACTCCCCGATCGAGATCCAGTGGAGTCTCAACGGAGAGGAGATTTCTCCGGAGTCGCATCCGGACGTGACCGTAATCAGAACCGGGAAAAAGAGCTCGACGCTGGGCATCGACGCCGTGACGGCGCGACACGCGGGGGAGTACACCTGCGTCGCGAGCAACCTTGCCGGGACCACCAGCCGCTCGGCGACCCTGTCGGTCAATGGTACCTTTCTCTGCGTTCCATGTCCCTCTCTTTTCCTTCCTTCCGCCCCCCGGCCGGTTCCTCGGCGCGTTCTCGGGAGATCTCCACGGCGCCGTCCCCCCAGGTCTTGCCATTCGCTCGGGGTTGGCACGTCGTCTCGTTGTTCCCGCAGTTGCCCCGCAGATCCAACAGTTGGTCTTCGCCGAGGATTTCGTAAACGCGGGCGACATGGTGACGATACAGTGCAGCGTACCCAAGGGCGACCTGCCTCTGCGAATCAGGTGGACGCTGAACGGACAGCCCCTGGACCCCACGGACGCGACCATAACCGCAACCATGTTTAACTCCAGGACGGCCATGCTTAGCGTCGAAAGCGCCAACGCCAGGCACGCGGGGAAATACGCGTGTCACGCTGCCAACGGGGCAGGAGTCGCAAGCCGATCCGCGAATCTGGCAGTGAACGGTAGTCCTTGGTCATGGTCAATCCCAGGGAGAGGATCCGATGGACGGTCAAAATCCACCTCCACCTGAAAACTCAATTGATATTCATTCAGATCCCCAGTTCGGGTCCTCTCTCTCCTCAAACCTGGATATTGGAGTTGATAGTTGTCAAGACGCGTCGATCGTCCCTGTATCCTTGGACCGGTCGCGAGAGCTTTTTTGTAGATATCTGGCTTCCACGACTCTCCCTCAGTCCCCTGAAAAAGACTCACAATCGCCGCAGCCATTCGGACGACAAGTAGGAAAAAGGAAAGGATAAATGCGAACCTGGAGACCGGCCATCTTTCTTTTTCAGTCATTCCGCGACTGTCGCCCATATCCTTCGGCGAGGAGCCCCTAAATTCCGGTCAAGTAGTAATGGTGCCCTGCGCGGTGATAGAGGGCGACCAGCCGTTGAAGCTGCGCTGGACCCTGAACGGTCACTCGATCTCGCCGCACTCCGGGGTGTCGATCCTGGACCTAGGAGGAAGAGGGGCCATTTTGAGCATAGGATCGGTAGAGGCGAGCCACGCGGGAACGTACACGTGTATCGCGGAAAACCACGCCGGCAGGCACGAGCTCTCGGCGGAGCTGATCGTAAACGGTGCTCCAGGGCGAAACTCACCTAGCTTTGTATAGTTGCCCTCTCCCGCCCCTCCCGCCTCCACCTCGACCAGGGTGGCGCCTTCTCGGCGGCCGCACCGACCTCGACCCGGGCCTCACCGATCCGTCTGGTTCCTGTTTGGCAGTCGCACCGCACGTCAGACCCTTTACCTTCGACGAGAGCAACCACGGCGATCTGATTATCGTGCACTGCGCCGTCGTTAAGGGCGACATGCCGATAACCCACCGCTGGTTGTTCGAGGGCCGCCACTTGGAGGCTGGCGACGGAGTGCGAGTGACCACCCTCGACGACAGGGTGTCCGCGCTGACCATTCCGGCGGTCAGGGGAGAACACGCCGGGGAGTACGCCTGCGTCGCCGAAAACCCTGCGGGAAGGGCCAGGCATAGCGCTCGCCTCAAGGTCAACGGTACTCGACGCCATCTTGGCAGGGATCTTAACTCGCGATGGCGGACCCTGCTCCGCGTAGAGATCGCGAGGGTCGGAAGGGCCGAAAATGGCGAAAGTTGAAATGACAAATGGCGAGAAGGAAAGTGGCAAATGGCAAGTCGTCGATCCATTCCCTTTTTCTTTTCCCCCATGCTACGTGCAATGTACAGAGTGGGATTTTTTTTCAACGCGATAAGGACTAGCGGACGGGAATTTTTTATTGGAGAGCTTCATCGAGGAGGCGCTCTCGGCACTGTCTCAGAAGGAATCTGAAGGTCTTGGACCCCTAAAGTGGGAACGATTTCAACATTTAGCGTCTCCATTAATAATTAGGCTCATTCTGTCCTAAGCGTCTCAATTGACAATTAAGGCGATGTGAAAGTGACGAGATGTCTCGTTTATGAAACTTTTCTCCGAACTGAGTATACCGAATCGTTACAAACTCGACAATGTGAATATGGATGCTAGGAAGAAGGTCCTGACACCCGTGTAATTATAATAATTTTAAAATTTATTTATAGATGCCTTAAAAATTTCTGATAAAAAAAGAAGGAAATTTCGCGAGTTTCAGGATCTACGTTAGGCTCTGCATATTCACGGTGTTAAGTCGATTAACTCCAGGACGGCCATGTTTATTAATAAACGATTATTAATATTAATAATTATTAATAAACGATTCGACACACCCAGTCCGGAGTAAAGTTTCACGAACGATTGAGCTTTCGGATGCCACTTTCAAACGCCCTTAAATTCGGATTTATTGGGTTTTGACCCGATAAATCCCGGATTTAGAAATCCACGATGGAGACGTAGTTATTAATAAATGCGCAGATTCTATCTGGAGCGTCTCGATCGACCCTTAAATTCGGATTTACCGGGTTTAGACCCAATAAATCCCAGATCTCGAGTACGGTGGAAACGTAGTCATTGTTATTTATCCTGTGAAATCGAAGGGAATCGGTTCTTGAAGAAGGAAATCGTTTTCACCGATTGGACTCCTCGAAGTTCCCACCGAGGCGAGGAAGCGGAAAGGGACGACTTGCCACTTCCGGCGGCCACCGGTCCTCGCATCCGGCGTCGCCCTTCCGACCGCCGCGCGTCCCAACCCGGAACCGATCCCGCCCCCGGACGGCGACCGAGACGACCTAACCTCCTCGGCGACCGAGACGACCCAACCTCCTCGCCGACCTCGCCGCAACTCGTTCTGCGTTCTCTATTGCAGTCCTCCCGAGCATCACGCCCTTCGACTTCGGGGACCGACCGATCTATTCCGGGCAGGCCGCTCAGTTAGCGTGCATGGTCTCCCTCGGGGACATGCCCATAGAAATCGCCTGGACTTTCGAGGGGAAGAAGTTGTCCGAGTTCATGGGTTACAAAGTCGGGAAGCTAGGACCACGCACGAGCATCCTGCTGATCGAACCGGTAACGCCCGACCACCAGGGAACATACGCGTGTGTCGCTAGTAATCCCTCGGGAAGGGCCGTTCACGAAGCCACCTTACGAGTTCACGGTTAGGACGAGAACGGACACGACACGCGAGAGTGAAAGAGAGAGAGAGAGAGCGATGGAGCGAGAACGAGAGCGAGAGAGAGGGAGAGAAAGGGGATCCGGGTGTCGAGAGAGACCGACACTCGCGCCAGCTTCGTGCATACCACCGAGCACGTCCTCGTTACGTCTTTCTGGTGTCGCTTCCTGAATTGCGTTCGTCCCAAGCTGCAAGCCCGCTCGACGGTTAGTTCCGCCGTCCGCCGCCTGTGCGCCCGCGTCGCACGGCCTCGCTCGAACCGCCGCGCCCCCTCTTCGTCGCCGTCCCCGGGCCTGCGCGGAAGGACCGGGAACGCGCGCTCCTCCATGATATGGTCCTACCTAGGAAAATGAAGTGGTATAAGGAGACGTTACGCCAATACTAGGTATCACAGAAAATGACCCCAGAATTGGGACCCAGGATCTCAGAGTTTCGCTGATCCAACGATGCTAGCGCTACTTGCGGAAAATCAGGGAACTCCGATCCCTACGTGACGAAAATATTTCCTACCGGCGTAAGTTACCTAAAATGCATTTAATTTTGCAATTACGGTACGCAAAACGAAACGATAATTCGCTAATGGTATACAGAATGTGATGTTTTCAACGCGATAAAGACTAGCGGAGTATAATTTTTAGTTGCAAAATTACATCGAGGAGGCGCTCTTGGCCCTAAATCGGAAAAAAATCTGATGATCTTGGACCTCTAAAGTGGGGAGGATTTCTATACATGTCGTTGAATCTTCTTGTACTACTTCGTGGAAAATACGATAATCGCCGCGAATGGCACGGAGAGAGAGAATCATTGTTTTCCCTTATAAAGCCGGGTACGCATCTATGCACGAACGCGTATGATTCAAGGCGAACATACGAGGGTGGATTATGTCAAACGACAAACTGTCTCGGATCATTCGGCGCACTATATGTTCGAATGCATCGGCATATAATGCATGGACCGCGCATTGTGTGTCGCTAACAATCGGTGAGAGAACGAGAATTATCGCGATCGGGTCTGCGCAGGTCGAATGCGCAGTAAATTCTTGACAGGTGGTGATAGCAATATACATGTATATACAGATACGCAAATTACTTCACTGCGCATTTCCGTCGTGCAGACCAGCGTAGACCCAATCACAGCGATATTCAGGTATAGGGAGTGAGCGGTCCAAATATTATACGTCCATAATCGAATACCATTCGTCATGACATGCCATTTTGTTTTTCCGCCGCGTACACATCTGACAAGGAAACATTCCCAAGTGTCCGCCGCCGATCTTATTGATTTTCATATATGTTGAAGAACACAACAATCTAAAAAACACGTGTTTTTTTTTATCTGCAATGGTCCACATTTAAGGGGTGAAACAACCCTTCAAATTTTGGCGAAAATTCGATTTTTATATTAATTTTCATAGAAGCAGCGGAGGGATTTTGACGAAACTTGGCATAAACGTATTTTGTATAAGGACGGTGAAAACGCGATATTGTCCAGTAATACCGCATCACCTCAAGGGGGTGAACTACCCTTCAGATTTTTTTGTAATATCTATTAAACAAGTACTCCCACTTAAGTTTCACTTGAGTGAGTACGAGGCATTTGTTCCGTTCGCGTACGCATGTACGCATTCGCGTTCAGATGTGTACTCGGCTTGACGAGGAATCTGTCGACGAAGAGGAGAGAAGAAAGAAAAACAAAAAAAAAAAGAGGCGGCGCTTTCGAACGGATCCGTGGTTCGCGCCCTCGCCTCTTGCCACTTGCGTCGATGTGTGACACGCACGCGTAGGCGCTTTCGCCGCGCGGCCCCACTTTTCCGACCGACGAGGACCTACTTTTCCGACCGACGAGGACCCACGGGACCCACGAACCTCCGACAGAGACGACAGAACGCCGCCCGCTTGTCTTCCCCCGAAAACCAGCCTCAAATCTCCGTTGAATGCCTCCGGCGAAGTCTTCCCTCTCGGGGAGAAAACAAGATGGCGCCCCGATCGCTTCGCACTTGGCCTACCCCCGACTGGCAGGGTCCTGCTCCCCGATACTCGCTTCTGTCTCCGCAACTTGTCTCGTCCGATTCGTTCGCATCGCGCGTCTCACCCGACCGGGTCCGCTTCGTCTTCGCGAGAAGTCTCGACGTCTTTTTTCGAAATTGCGTCCGGCGTCCGGGCCGCCCTCCTCGTCCTTCCCCTTCCGAGGGATCCCCTTTGGCACCTTCCGAGCCTTGCACCTCTCCCTACACCTCGCCTTTTCTTGGTCGTTGTTGTGTACGTAGCTTAGCCTAGCCGTAGTGCACGCACGCTTTCGTAGAGTGCCCGCGACGGTGCACGAGGTCGCCCACTCTGGTTTGACCCTGTGCAGCAAATTAATCCACCCAACTTGGGGGCATTCGAAAATGATTACAAAGAAAGTCCCGCCATCCGCCGGCCGGTGCATCATGGGAGCTCGCATGCGCGCGCAGCGACACGGACTGGTCACGTGACCAGCGCCACGAGGAAGGAATCACTCCTTTCGAGTAGTATATGCTTATATGTTGAAACTAACGTGCACATTTTTTACATCGGAGGCACATAACTTGCACAAAATAACCGAGTAAAGGTATTTTAGCTCTAACTGCATTTTGCTGCGCAGGTTCGACCGTAAAATCCAACTCGCATCACGTAGGCTCCTTCCGAGCAGGTCGAGTCAAGTTTCGAGTCACTTTTTGCACGCTGTGTTTGATTTCTGCAATGCATGACAAACCCCACGAAGCAGCGTCCTCCAAAATCTGGGTACGGAGTTCTAGGAAATACTTCGTAGATTTTTAAATTTATTTTCCTTTTAACTCTATGGAAGTCGAGACGCAATCACCGCCCGCCATTTTGGAGAACACTGCCGCGTGGCTGGCACGAGTTACCGAAAGCAAAGGCGAATCCACGTCTTAATCTTCTAATCTAATCTAATGAGTACTAATCATTTAATTATCGAGGCATTCGTGGAGGGTTTGGACTCCCTGGTACTAATCTCGTGGCGTTCTTTCATCGAAAAGGATACGATTTCGATGGGAGGACCAAAGCACGACTTCTCTTTCGCTTTCGCTAATGGGTGCTAGTTTCTTTTCTTATCATAAGCGAAAGAGGGCATAAACTAACTCGTTCTTTGGGTATCCAGTTCCACCTCGTTGGATTCTGGAACCAACTGACAAGGCATTCGCCCAAGGCTCTGATGCTCGTGTCGAGTGCAAGGCCGATGGCTTCCCCAAGCCTTCCGTCACCTGGAAGAAGGCTGCCGGTGAGTAAAGCATATTAGTTGCCTCGATATTAATGTCCCAGGTTTTTTTTCTACTAAAACCCTCGAACTATTTCAACAGGGGATACGCCTGGCGATTACAACGACCTGAAACTTAGCAACCCTGATATCAGCGTCGAAGATGGAACCCTGTCGATTAACAACATTCAAAAGACGAACGAGGGCTATTATCTCTGCGAAGCAGTCAACGGCATTGGTGCTGGACTGTCTGCTGTCATCCTCATTTCCGTGCAAGGTAAGCACTACCAATATCCTGCGAATCCTTAATTCCTAGATATCTAGGTTACCTCGTTTGATTTTCACGTTTATCTTGAATTTATTCAGCCCCACCGCACTTCGAAATCAAGCTCCGAAACCAGACTGCTCGTCGAGGAGAACCAGCCGTGTTGCAATGCGAGGCTCAGGGTGAAAAGCCTATTGGAATCCTATGGAACATGAACAACAAGCGACTGGACCCGAAGAGCGACTCTCGGTACACCATCCGCGAAGAGATTTTGGCGAACGGCGTCCTTTCCGACCTGAGTATCAAGAGAACGGAACGAGGAGACTCTGCCCTCTTCACCTGCGTTGCGACCAATGCCTTCGGCAGCGACGACACCAGCATCAACATGATCGTTCAAGGTTCGGATAGCACGTGGCGAATTTTTTTTTATTACCATGGGTGCATCAGCTACATGTTCGTCTACTTTTACAGAGGTTCCGGAAGTGCCATATGGCCTGAAAGTGCTGGACAAGTCCGGACGCTCTGTGCAACTGTCCTGGGCCTCACCCTACGACGGAAACAGCCCCATAAAGCGATACGTAATCGAGTACAAGATGAGCAAAGGATCCTGGGAAAGCGATATCGACAGAGTACTCGTGCCTGCCTCTCAGCAAAACATTGCTGGAGTCTTTAATCTGCGACCAGCTACGACCTATCATCTCCGAATTGTCGCCGAGAACGAGATCGGAACCTCCGACCCATCCGACACTGTGACCATCATCACGGCAGAAGAAGCCCCATCAGGACCACCCAGCTCGGTCAGAGTGGATGCGTTGGATCAGCACACCTTGAAGGTTGGTTTTCGAGAATCTGGTTGCCTTTGTTATATATCTTTTATTGAGGCGTTGTTCGTCCTTAGGTTACCTGGAAGCCCCCTCCACGTGAGGACTGGAACGGCGAGATCCTCGGCTACTACGTTGGCTATAGACTATCTTCCTCCACTGACAAACCCTACATGTTCGAAACTGTCGAATTCTCCAAGGAAGACGGCAAGGAACATCACCTGCAGATCATGAACCTGAAGACGTACACGCAATACAGCGTGGTCGTGCAAGCTTTCAACAAGGTTGGATCTGGCCCCATGAGCGAGGAACGTAGACAACACACTGCCGAAGGAGTGCCGGAACAACCACCCCATGATTCCACCTGCACCACCCTGACCTCTGAAACTGTTCGAGTTTCCTGGGTTTCTCCACCATTGAGCGCGGCTAACGGAGTGATAACTGGATACAAGGTAAACTTATCATCTTGCAAGGTGTCGAAGAGACTTATTCTCTGCCGCTCTTCGTACAACGTTCATGGAGTACGTTGCCGAATCTCCAGGTCATCTACGGACCCTCTGACACCTGGTATGACGAGAACAGTAAGGACACCAAGATCACCTCCTCTAGCGAGACCATTTTACATGGACTGAAGAAGTACACCAACTACAGCATGCAAGTCCTCGCTTTCACTTCCGGTGGAGACGGAGTGAAGTCTGCGCCGATTCACTGCCAAACCGAACAAGACGGTGAGGAGTTTATTTCTTGTTTATCCCTATATAACATTTTATTTATTGCTCGTTTTTTTTACAGCCCCCGAAGCACCAGTCGCTATCAAGGCTCTAGTTATGTCTGCCGAGTCGATCCTCATCTCCTGGCGGCCACCTAGTCAACCAAACGGTGTTATCTCTCAGTACACTGTTTACACGAAGGCCGAGGATGCAGAAGAAGCTACCGCTCACAAAGTCCCTCCTAGCCAACTGACCTATGAGGCAACGAGTCTGGATAAACAGCATAGATACGATTTCTGGGTGACCGCGAGTACCAACATCGGTGAGGGAGATCGGTCCAAGGTGGTAACCCTTTCGCCAAGCATTCGAGGTAAACAAAAATACTCTGGCACAGATCTTAAGTGTACCGAGAGTTCTTGTATTATTTGGATGTTATCTCTTCGTGCAGTACCTGCAAAGATTGCTTCGTTCGACGACAAATTCACTGCGACCTACAAGGAGCACGTTAAGCTGCCATGTCTCGCTGTTGGAGTACCAGCACCAGAAGTCACCTGGAAGGTCCGCGGAGCGACTTTGCAACCCAACGATAGACTGCGCCAACTGCCGGAAGGATCCCTGTTCATCAAGGAAGTCGACAGAGCGGATGACGGAGAGTACTCTTGCTACGTGGAGAATTCGTTCGGTCATGACACCGTGACTCATCAGCTGATCGTGCACGGTAGAGTTACCAGAAAAGCTGCTTAGCGATAACTTCTATGAGTACCTAGATCGCTCTTGGCTAATTGGGTTTCGTCCCTCCTCAGCACCTCCGCACTCTCCGAAAGTCATCCTCACCGCCACGACCACCAACTCTCTTACCATGAAGCTGGAACCCCACCCCACTGACAAAGCACCTATTCACGGCTACACTATCCACTACAAGCCTGAATTTGACGACTGGAAGACCATCCAAATCAGCGCTACCACCCAGAAATACACCTTGGAGAACTTGTGGTGTGGCTTCCCGTACCAGATTTACGTGACCGCTTACAATGGGTGAGTCTCCGGCCTTGCTGCACCGTACAAATCTCGGTTCAACCCTAAGACTGTGCCTCGCTTTTCAGAATTGGAACCGGCGACCCATCTGACATCCTAAACATCCGCACGAAGGGGTCCAAGCCGATCATCCCGGAAGCTGCCAGATTCATCGAAGTATCCACCAACAGCATCACCCTCCACCTGAGTGCCTGGTCGGATGGCGGCTGCCCAATGTCTTATTTCGTGGTCGAGCACAAGAAAAAGTAAGAGAACTGGACTGGAACAAGGGTCCGTTCTCCCGTCTTAAGGTCCACCTTAAGTGGCCAGTACTTAGGCAAGTCTAAAACCTAGCGATCATCCGCAGGCACCAGAAGGAATGGAACCAGGTCTCGAACAACGTCAAACCCAGTGGCAACTTCGTCGTGTTGGATCTGGACCCGGCAACTTGGTACCACTTGCGCGTCACGGCACACAACAACGCCGGCTTCACGGTTGCCGAATACGAGTTTGCGACCTTGACGGTAACGGGAGGTAAGCTCCTCGTTCTCGGGCCCGGCCGAGTCGGCGGCAATGGTGCTTGGACGAGCTCCCGAAATTTGATTTTCTTTTCCAGGCACCATTGCGCCGGCCCGCGAGCTCCCTGATGTGAACGGCGGCGGGGCAGGCCCTGACGACCCGATGAGAATGCTCGTAGCCAACCTGAACCTGGTCGTACCCGTGGTCGCCGCCGCTCTCGTCATAGTCGTTGCCGTGATCGTCATCTGCGTCCTTAAGGGGAAGGGCCACGGTGGCGATAAAGGTAAAGGCATAATTTTCACTTCCTTTCCTTGCGGTCTTCAGGTACCATTGCTCCACCCACTCGTAATGCCGGTAACGATGGCGCTGATGTGCGACGGTACTTCCCCTGGTTACCGACCTGGCTCGACGTCAATGTCGTAGTTCCTGTAGGTGCCACCATCGTAGTCATTGTCGTGGGCATAGTCGTCATCTGTGTCGCCCTGTCGAGGAGAACTCGGGGACCAGAACAGACACGGCTGCGAGGTATCTCATCAGCCGACGAGAAATATTACGAGGGACAATGTATACTCATTTTTTTATTCTTATTTATATTAGGTTAAGTAGCATCTCGGGCCGAGCACCGGCGCGCCTCCGCTGTCCGATGAGAGTTCTCGAACTTCCTGAGCATTTCTTCCCGTCCCTTCTAGATGATGAGATTTACTCGAGTTAACTATTTCCTCTCGGCTTGGCAGCGGTCGAGCGGTTGTTCTCGGCCTTTGGTCTTATTCTGCACTGGTTGAAAAATCAGTTTATCCTTGCTAATGTAGGATCATAAGCACCATCTTAGGATAACGTGTTGAAATTAATTGCAGAGCATCTTCACCTACTTCCCTTCGACCTTCTCGCATGTCGCCCATCCGATCCGTTCATCAGCCTTCGTCCCATTCCGGCATTTCGCTAGAAATCAACATTGATAGTGCCAAGATCACACGCCATGCCATTGATCTCACGCTCGAGGGTTTTTTTGGAACGTTTTCAGACGACGTGGTATACCAACAATCCGGAGTAGTGGGATCCACCCTAGACAAACGCCGACCAGACCTTCGAGATGAGCTAGGATACATCGCCCCTCCCAACCGCAAGCTGCCACCGGTACCCGGCTCTAATTACAACACTTGCGATCGCATCAAGCGAGGTACAGTGATAAGTAAGCCATCACTGCTGATACCTACTCTCTCGATCTGTTCCTAGATCATTTTCGACACCGTCTAGATGTTGTCGCATCGGCACGATCGTCGCTCTCTGTAATGACTCTCTCTTTGTACACACGATCACTCGTCCCACGACAACCACCGTGGAAGGTGTTCCTTTCCTGGCGCAGCTCGCCGAATCTGACCTGGAGCGAAAGAAAAAATCTAATACTACAGAAATATCTAATATTCCTATATCGATGACTACCCAACGATACAGGAGTATTGCCAAGAAGGAAGAAGGCGATTGCGCTAGCAAAGGAACCCCTGGACCTAGACCAAACAGGCTAGACACACGCAAAGAACACGAGACCATTTTGGCTGGAATCGACGAACGCATGAGTCGACACTCGTACATTCGTTCGGCCTTTTCTCCCTGATTTCCGAATATTTTTCACCGACGCGTTCGCAGGTGCATACCCGGAGGGTCTGTATTGCTGGGCACGTCGTCACCGTTTCTCTCCGTTCCCCCACCCTGACTCTTTCCCCGGAACGCTTTCAACCGCTTGAAGCTGCAAATCCACCGAGCCAGACGAACTTTTCCTCTGCGAATCGGGCCCTAGAGATGTTGGCATATCTAAATGGTTCATAGCATAAAAAACGTAGAAGCATAGTCCAATCTCGATGACCTGGTTAAAGTTGACATTGCTCATTCAAGAGATTCAGAAAATGATGTCAATTGTCCAGTTTGACACGCCAGGCTAAATATCGCAGATAATGACTAGGTCAGGGTTTCGCGCCTTTATATATGTATTTGGCGCGGAACTCTACCGAGTTTCTTAATTCGCCGGCTCGGTGGGTCGTAGCCGGTAGGACGGTCTTTTGTAGCGTCTGTTCGACAGGTGGGACAGGTTCGTTAAGGAGTCACTCGACTTGGGACCCCAGGAGGCACATGTACGAGGAACTCGGCCATTATGCGCCGAGCAGAAGGTGTCCACCGCCCCCGCCGCGCATCGACAGTGCCGAGGGTCTCTCGCACAGAGGTTGGTAGAAACACCCAGGACGTCTCTGTCTCGGTCCCGAGCATCGCATCTCGATCCTGACTCCACGTCCCCGAAGAGCCACTCTTCACCCACGAGGAACCTCTATAAAAAGAAGCCCATTCGATAGGACTCGATAGGAGGTTCCAATTCTCCCCAGCAAGCTCGACCCGTACAGGGTGACGACTTCAACCTGGACTCACGCAGTCACTAAATAGAATCCACGCACATTTGTTATACATGGTTCCTTAAGGTGACACGAAAGGTTCATTCTATACATATATTGCTTTTCTCCAAACCGGATGCGCCGACTCGTTGGAAACTTCAGCATATGATTATGGAGGCCCTAAGAAAGAACGTGGTGATCATAACATTTCATTTTTAATAAAAAAAAAATTTGTATTCATCCCAGACTCGAACTAAGAATACATATTTCTTTTGAAAAATAAAATTTCACGAGCACGACGTTCGTCTTCGGGGCCTTCATAATCGTGTGGTGAAATTTCAAATGATTCGGTGCAGTTAATGTAGAGAAAAGTTTGATAAATATCCTTACGTTTTGTACATATAGAATGAGGTTTTTATATAGCCTTGATGAAGGGTCCGAACCACCCTGTACCCGTCGATGTTCACGTCCCGACTTCCCGAGTCCGTCCAAATTCCGAGTAAAAAAGCTCGCCCTCGAAGAGGAGCACCAGGTGGTCCCCTAAAGCCGAGGCTGGTGCACGGCGTGCGTCGTAAGTCCTCGACGGGTATCTCGATGTTGCACGTTCGCATGCTTGCGCCCGTAACGCATCGTTTTAATTTGCCCTCGCAATGCACCCGCGCTTTCGCGTGTCCGGGTCGCCCAGGTGGGTAAGTAGGCGAAGAGCGTTTGGCCCTGAGAGCGTCTACCCGTGCGCGACTCTTTCCGTTCCAGGCATGGAGGACGAGATCTGCCCGTACGCGACCTTCCACCTGCTCGGCTTCCGCGAAGAGATGGACCCCAGCAAGGCCATGCAGTTCCAGACCTTCCCGCACCCAGGAAACGGACACTCCGGCACCATGGGCCCTCCTGCTGGACATCCTGCCAACGCCCCCGCTCACAGTCGCTCCGGCTCGCAATCCATGGTGAACATGCTCATCCAAATGTCTACAAACCAGTCGCCATCCATACTCGACCCTATCAAAGTGATATGAAAGAGGCACCTAAAGGATCAATTTATAGAGAATTTACCAAAATTCTACAATCAAATTTTTTAATAATTTATAATTTCATGGGGGTCGAGACCTTCCTCCACGTTCACGTTGTGGAGTTTGAAACGATTCGGTGCGCCCAATTCGGGGAAAAATGTATACAAACAAGAGATCTCTCTGACGTCACTTTGACGTCATCTTAAGGTCCTTCTATATATACGTCATTCTTGAAAATATTTACAAAACTTTTCTCCAAACCGGGTGTACCAAATCATTTGAAACTTCAACACGTGATTCTGGAAGCGCTGAGGAAGAACGTGATGCTCGTGAAATTTTGTAAACAAAAAAAAAATACGTATATAGATCCTTTGTTCTACTCTGGGATGTACACAGAGAAATCGTCAGCTTCCTTAATCAGATGCCGAACCGTTCAACGATTCGATGCCTCGGTTTTATAAATACTTTGGCGTTTAATGTATATAGAATGACCCTTTCGTTGATACGAAAGAATTTCTAAGAAGTGACCATGACCTCCCTTGTTTACAGCCTCGCCAAAACGGCCGATACTCCCGGGTGCCATCTCAAGGTGGGTGCAACGGAAACGGCAGCGTGGGAACCGGACCCCACATGTTCTCTCCTGAATACGACGACCCGGCCAATTGCGCCCCTGAAGAGGACCAGTACGGATCGCAGTACGGCCAGTACGGAGCACCTTATGACCATTATGGATCCCGTGGCTCCGTAGGAAGACGCAGCGTAGGGTCGGCGCGCAACCTCCCGACCTCCGGGTCCCCCGAGCCTCCTCCACCTCCTCCCCGCAACCACGACCCGAACAACTCGAGCTTCAACGACAGCAAGGAGAGCAACGAGATCAGCGAGGCCGAGTGCGACCGCGACCAGATGGTGAACCGCAACTACGGTGGTCAGTATTCCGGGCCCGACGGCGAGGAGGTTGCACCTCTCGCGCATGTCTAACAAGAGCACGTACATATTTGTCGTTCGTATACGTGCACGAGGTCCCACTCGGTCCCCGGAGCCGAGGTCCAGGCCACCAGCTTCGCCCGGCATGTCGCGTACCCGTAGTCATCGCTGTTGTGTCAACCGGCTCGTGTGTTCTTTCATTTCAGTTAATCCCCGCGGCAAGGACGGCATGACCACGGAGGAGATGCGGAAGCTCATCGAGAGGTTAGTAGCGCGAGTAGCCTCGACCCTGAATGCACCTAGAGGAGCTTTCCCTGGCACAACCGGGACTCGCGTCGACGCGGTGATCGGATGTAGAAAATCCCCAGCGACCGGACGAGTCCCAGTCGAGACGTAGTTAGAGTAGAGGTAGAACTGTTCCGCGTGCACGAATTCGTCTGAGAGCTGTAGACCGTGGTTCCCCTCGTCCATGTAAATTCTCACGACGGGGCCAGTTAAACCGCATGCTGCGATTCCATCCAAGAGAGTCGACGGAGGCACACCTAGTTCATCGGGTTTGGTCGGGGTTGGCCGAACACCTGGAGGGAATCGCACCTACTAACTTCGCGTGCGCGGTGGTCCTCTTGCTGGTCGACCCCCAGAGGAGGTTCATCCTCTTCGCCTTTTCCAAAAGAAACGTCTTTTCCTCTCCTTGCCAGCAACCCGGGACCACCGCGGACGTTCCTCATCTTCCCCGGGAGCCGGTGAACCGCTAATTGCTCATAGGTGATGGTGCGCTGCTGGTAACGCCTTAACTTTCTAACCACTGCTTGCTTCGAGTGTCCGTCCACGTGTATATATCCGTAGATGTCGAGAACCTCGAGGAGGGCTTTAACTTCCTCAGGACGAACACCCGCACCGAGCGCAGCTAGAGCACCGGAAGTCTCATCGTCGAGAAGGGTCCATTTTAACGAGGATTAACGTTTCAGAAACGAAGTCCCCGGCCGGCAAGCCAGCGCCGCCCCCGGCAGCCACGGTGGACTCCTCACACCCTACGATACTGTGGCAGTGTAACCTCTAAGGGGGTTCCCGGAGGCCTCCGGCACAGCTGCAGCATGGAGCTCCTCGGAAGGTGTCCCGAAGCTGCGGCCGAGTCCCCGCCAGCGTCTCGTCGGTCCAATTGCAACGATTTAACGATATTTAGAGCGACCTAGCCTCGCCGCCCCGAGGAGGGGTCCCGTCCGCGGCCCCCTAGGTACGCGCGCCTCCACCAGCCCGTCTCTCGAGGAGGACGGGGCGCGTCGCCCGCCACCCTCGCGCTACTATCTCACTCTCTCCCCTTTTTATCTAATCGGGTCGCGTCCCCGAGTCTACGGTTGTGATCCAGCAGGAGCGTGACGCGAGCGGACGGTACTCTTCTAGAGAGGAGTCGAGGCTGTGCCACACTGCCGCTCCCTGGCGAGTCATTTTGTAGCGGGGTCGCGCGCGACCTGGGAACCCCTCGACTCCGTATGACGAACCCATCAGACTCCGTAGACGAGGTCGAGTCTCCCCAGGGCGCGCACGGCCCCGACCTCTAGCTTCGTAACGAGGTCGACTAGGCCGATGCGTTTTAGGTTCGCCGCTACCGACGATCGTCGGGCCTCTTTGTAACCGTCGATTTAAGTCGATACCGACTATACTTGAGTTATACGAGGATAACTCTACGCGATGATATTAAGATTAAGCGATTAAAGGTAAACGTTAACGCTAACGAAGTTAGGTAGGACCAGTAAGCAGGACGTATGGTCGCGAGGGGGTACTATTTGCGAGCCTCGTCGCGGCGCTGAATTAGAACCACGGGGGGGTTCCTGTCCTTGGCTCGAGCGCGTACCGGTTCAGCGCAGCGCGAACGCGCGCTTAAGTACGCATCTCATAGTCTCATCGTTTTTATCGCGCTCCTACTATCCTAGCTAGGTAGCTATGCGTAGTTGTCCCGGTCGGCCCAACCGCGGTCCCACGGTCGCGTCGTCCATAGGGATGCCCGAACCCGGTCCTCGCATTGGGGACACCTCCGGGTATTCCTGGGACGAGGTGGGAAACTCCCGGCAGAACCATAAGGACGATTAAGGGGGTGCGAGAGTGGCATCCGAGGAGTCAATCGTTCACGAAGCTTTTCTCCAAACTGGGTGCGTCGAATACTTTCAAACCTTACAACGTTAATGCGAAGGCTACAAGGAATAGTCTGACACCCATGAAACTTCATTCTTCGACAAAAGTTTTGAAATTACATATAAACAAATTTAAAAAGAGAAAAAAGAAATGGATTTTCGTTAGCGTCAGGACCTTCCTTATTGCCTTCATGTTCACGATGTAAAGTTTGAGAGGATTCAATACACTCAGTTCGGAGGAAAGTTTCATAAAAGAGACCTCTCCGATGCCACTTTCGCATCCCCTTAACGCGACCCTGGGTCCCGGTGAAGCCGTTCCAGGTTAAACTCGTCGATGTGATTTCAACGCCGCGCAACTCTTCGTGTCTCGTGTATGTAATAACTACCAGCATCTCGTTATATCCAATCTATACGTATGCATACGTATTAATAATTGATATCTATCGATAGTGTACGACGTACTCGTGTAAAACTACTTTCTTAGGGTGAGCTTCTCGCATCGAAAGGGTTCGGAATCTCCGGCTCGAGTTTGCCTCGGTGCCGTCCGAGAGTTCGGCCCATGATAAAGCCGAGCTCTGGGAAAATGGCACCTAAAGAGGGACATCGGCCGAGGCCATTAGCGAAGGTCGTCAGGTTCCCGAGGGTGTAACCCTTTCTCGCCGACACTGGAAGCAGATGTTAAATTGGGTGCTGAAACTTTAGGCTTACTTTCCCCCGCTCCCGCGACCTCCCACTCTTCAGTCTTTGCGCTTATCATTTTTCGTTAGCGCTGCCGGTCCGCGATTGTAAACGATTCTGCAGAAGGCTGACGCAGGTGTGGCCACCGGCCACGATCGAATCGGTGTTTTCTTCGCGTTTTCACGATCTTACCGATCAACTTTTACTGACTCTCCAGTGCCACTACTTTACGTTTTTGTACCAAAGTTGTAGTACCTAACTTTACGTTGAATAAATAAATAATACGTAAACGAAACCCATTGGCCACTACTTTACGGTTTCTGTACCTAGCTTTACGTTGAATTAATAAGTAACACGTAAATACAATTCATTGGCCGCTATTTTAGGTTTTTCTACCAAAGTTGTAGTACCTAACTTTATGTTGAATAAATAAATACGTGAAGAAAAAATTCACTGGAGACTGGTAGCGTGTAAACACGTCGGATGAAGGGGCCAGGATCGCGTGATCGCAATCTCTGGCTGTTTTTATTGGATCACTTTAAATACACCCGATAGAGCTCAAATTCCAACCTAATCGCTACGGGGGGAGGGGGGGTCGATACGTACTACGAAATACCAGAAAAGACATCACTGAACATTTTTGGTGAACGAATCGTGTTTATCGGAAACCAATTAGCGACGTTATCGATTACAAATGAAACGAGTGCCGAAATTTAACGCATCGAAATAAAAGCGAATACAACTCGCTGGTTAGAACGTGTAATAGGACACACACCGGAACTTCTAAAACAATTGCACCAAAGTAATAGCCAATTATAATGGAACCAAAAGCGGTAAGGATTAAAATATTTAAATGTAACCGATGTGTGGCATTAGTCAATTATAGTATACCCGACAACAGAGCAGCACTAGTGATATCAATAGATGGCTTCGGCGAATGACTTCATGCCTAAAAAAGTTCCTTATTCGATACCACCTAAATTATTTTTCATTAGCTAGCTAGGACAATCGTCTGTTGACAACAAACCGATCGTTTTTCTCGTCGAATAAAACACTTGCATCGAAACTATTTATGTTACACTACATGTACACGCAAATATTTATCTAAACAAAGGTTTAATATCATGTAGCCAAAGATCGGTACAACCGTTATCGACTAACACTGAGGTGAGTCATGCAAAGTTCAATGTTTGGTAAGAAAATTTAATGGACCGCTTCTTCGATAGGATTCGAATCTCCACTTCGTTAACTGAACATAAGTGTACCGTTTTAGATGTTAACAGAACGTACCAAAAAAAATGGTGATTTATTTATGATACAATTAATAGAGTCCCTGTGAGAAGCAAAAATGACTTCCTGACTGTAATTCGATCGTTGCCTCACTGATCCTAAAATCAATGGATATTCCTACTTCCTTGCTGTTCACAATCCCTACCATTGTTCATGCGACGGGTCATCAGATCTGTAAAAGTATAACGATGAGATAATCCAACCACAAAAGTAGATAGATAATTAACTACCAAAAATAGTTGACTATAATTGCGATTTGTTTCAACCTACATTATCGACGTCATCCTCGTCGTCGTCACTGATCTCATCACCAAATTCAATATCTTCATCGAAGCCATCTTCCACAAAGGTGACCGTATCGTTGATACGCACTGAAAATGAATTTGAATTTTAAAACATTATCTCAATATAATTAAAACACATACGCTAATGAATTAAAATGAATTTCTTCCATAAATGCATCTACAAGCCAGTCGATTTCAACTTTAAACCATGTCAAACTTAGTTGCCCGTCCACGGGCAAAAACTCACCAGTTTCTGGAAATTCTCCATACGTTTTCAAATTACGTGCCTCATCAGCGGTATATTTCAGAATGACGTCTGCTTTTGCATCTTGATAGTCACGCAAGCCAATAAGAATGATGTCACCTTGATTAATCCAGACTTTTTTGCGTAGCTTTCCTCGGATGTGACACAATCTTTTGACACCGTCGAAACACATCGCTTCTAACCTTCCATTACCCAACATCTTGGTTACTTGAGCGTATTCTACAAAGTAACAAAGAGAATGAGTTTCATTACCTGTACGTAAATCTAGTGAAGGAATAGAAAAACCTACACTATTTTTTCCGACCATCTTAAGGATTATGCTACATATTGACATCAAACTATAATGCACAGCTACAATATAAAACTTGAAATGTTCACCTTGACCATCCTCCTTGAAAACCAGCTCTCTCTTTTCAGTTTCATTTTCGTTCTTTCCTCTTCTTCGATTTTTACCTCCCTTTCCTGCAAGAAAATGTTATCTAAGTTTCACTTGATGTTCGGAGAACGCGGACGACGAGAATTCGATGACGAATTAGCTCGTCGAAGTCGAAGTTGACACTAACAGGTTATGCCAAACTAATTACACTGAATACGTGAAATCGTGCCAGTCACGCGCACCCAATGCTTCCCTTCGCGATACATTTTCTCAATGCGAAATAACCTCTATCCCTGTGGAAAACGACGCTCACCTTTATTCTTCGGCATGTTTGTTTAGAAAGTGGTCACCAGCTAAAGAATCCAGAATTATTTCCAACGACGAAGGCAACGAAAGAACTACACCTTCATGGCGGACTCCGCAAAAGGACGGCAGTCAAAAGAGTCAAAAGAACTAGCAGAACATCAAACAATATCCGAACAGATGATCGATCGACAATAGCACTTTAAATCTCTCGTAGATAAATAGGAAATTAATTAATTCGATGATATCGATTAAAGTTAAATTCCAAACAGTGTCAGTTTTATGAGTGAGGATAATTTCGATCGGTACTTGACTGACTCCTCTTACAGGCGGGAAATTCAAATTCAGTTTCAGGAGAAATTCGACTCGGCTCCGGGATCGGCCTGGTCTCGTCCTATTCTCCTTTCCGACGCGCCGACTCCCGAGTGCCGGAGAGTTGCCGCAGAGTGCCGCAGAATGACGGAGAGTGCCGGAGAGTGCCGGAGAGTTGCCGCAAAGTGCCGGAGAGTGCCGGAGAGTGCCGGAGAG